TATCACCTCCCATAGGACAGCTTTCAGCTCCCTGGAGAAACGAGTTCTGATAGTGAACTGTAAAGAGAGGGGTCCTCTAGACCTTGCCAGCCACCAAAGATGGCCTGAGAGCAAGAAACCCAGGTGGCCATTGGGAGTAAAAACTCAGAAATAAAGCACAAATGGTTTATTTGTTTGGGACTAGGGTGGGCCAGCTGTCTGACGTCCCATCAGTTATAGTCTAATGCCTGGATTTTCATTCTCACAGTCAACATTCATTGAGCCAGAGCACAAGTTCTCACCAAGACAATATCGTCTCCAAAGCAGCAAAAGCTGTTTTTATTTGGTGGTGGCGAGTTTGGGGAGAAAATCTTACTCTTTTTATGTAAAAACAACAACAACAACAACACATGTACCATCTACTGTATAACCAGATATACAGTTTGTGGTTTTAGAATTTCACAGTGGCGGTGATTAGGAAAAAGACTTGGAGGGGCAGGGTTTGCACAACAGTAATGACAACAAAACAAGGTTGAAAAACACTGAGATGCTACATATGTTCTCATGAAGTCTTTTATGGCTGAAAAGTGTTCTCCTTGGCTGCCCTGGGAGCCAAACTAACCCACCATGTACAAGTGATTTCTAAGGAGACTACATGCTGGGTTCCAAGCTTCAAACCCACAAGTGGATCTTTGAAGTGGAGTCATCTGTAAGGGAAGGATTACTTGTAAACATGCAGCTCTTTCTGTCATGTGGAAAGCTTCAAGTACAAACATTCATGGAGAAACTTATTTAATGCACTGGGGACCCAGTTAAGAATAAGCTTCAGGCCTTAGAGCTATATGGTCAGCGCAGTGATGGAACCACGTGCCAGGAGATTTGGGCTTAGTGTCTTCCTTTCCCCTGCCCACGTTTGCAAGGCAAAGAGCTTTTCCCAAATTTGGTAATGGAGTTAAGCTATAGTTGGTTCACTCAACATGTTGAGCACCCATGAAACATGAAACACTGGTAGGGTCTAGAGAGACTGGGCAGTCCAATATGATAGCCATTAGCCATGTGTGGCTACTTAAATTGAGATTAATTAAAATTGGCCAAGTATGGTGACTCACACCTATAATCCTAGCACTTTGGGAGGTCAAGGTGGGAGAATCACTTGAGCTCAGGAATTCAAGACCAGCCTGGGCAACATACTGAGACCTCATCTCTAAAACTAAGAGAAAAATAAATAAAGATTAATTAAAATGAAATAAAGTGAAAACTCAGTCACACTAGCCACTTTCCAAGTGCTTGCTAGCCATGTGTACTTTGTGGCTACTGCAGGGGACAGCACAAAAATAGAACATTTCTATCAGAAAGCTTTACTGGACAGCACTAGTCTAGAATTTTGTAGCACATGGATACAGCCAATATGGAACAGTGGTTAAGAATATGGCCTTTGAGGTCAAACATAGATTGGGATCCCAGCAATACCACTCACCTCACCAGCTTTATGATCATATGGTACTCAGCCTTTCTGAGCTACAGTTTTGTCCTCTGTAAAACACAGGTAATAATGCCAGCCTCCTTGGGTTATAATGAGAATTAAAGATTATGCATTAGCATGTAGTCATTGCTCAATATGATGTCTACTGTGATCATTATCATTATTTGTATTATAATGATCATTCTCATCATTACTGACATTATTGGCAGGTGGGGTGTTTATAACCATCCACACAGACATTTTATGGTCATTAAGTTCTGTAATGTTCCTATTTATAAAGGTTTTCAAAGATTCAGCTGTTTCCCTGTATTTCTTCTCTCCCTCTACGGTGGTCACCACCCTTATCCCCAACAATGCAATAAATCATCTAAGAGCCTGGATTTGGGTGGCCACCTCTGCCCCCATCAGTGATGACTAGAGAGGTAGAGGGGTAACTATACAGTGTAGAGAAATATAATTGTTGATTTGAGTACATTTCTGATATATCCAGGAAAATGATAGGATGGAGGCAGATTACAGGAATGAGAAACAAAGGCCCTTGCTGAAAGTTATTACAAGGTAGTTGCTGTGCTCCAGGACAGAGGGGAAATTGGACAACTACTTGGGGATGTATTATTAAGGTATTTCCACCAAGGATCTCATTATTCTCAAGCCTTTTATTGCCAGCTGAGTCCTGGAATACACAAGCAGAGGCACCAGCCCATAGCCAAATCATTAAGACAAGTTAAGACATATTAACATATGCTGGAAACAATTACCCATAAAGATTTAATTTGTTTCACTGCTGGAAGAAAATCCTGAGAGGGCACCAAACACATACCCAAGAACAATTCTGTACCCACTCTGTGACTCTCACTTGACTGCACTTTAGGGGCTGGAATCTGCTTAAATTGGGCATCTACCAAAGAAAGACGTTTTATCTGGAAATAGATCCCATGTTAGCGTTACAGGTAGTTATGTGAGTTACTTGGAGTCTGTTAAGGTGGTGACTTTTTTGTTGTTGTTTCTTTTTAACCTATGATTATTGTTAGAAATAATTATTATAGTTATCAAAATAATGTACCGAGCTCTAAAATGAAATAGGCATAAATTTTATAATATACCTAGCAAGCTTACATATTTGCATAATGATTTGCTCTTTCTTTAAGACACCTAAACTAAATACGAGATAGTGAATTTGTTTCTGAATTTTGGCCTTCAGTCCCTCTTGACTTTTTTGTTGTTGCTGTTGTTCCTTGCCTGATTGTTATCTTTCACTGTTTTAATGTGAGGAAAAGAAAGTCTCTTCAGCACGGCCAACTGCATTTTTCTCAAAATCAATAGAATCCATCATCAAGGTTATTCTAGAATGTGACTATTACAGTATGCCCATTATATGGCGATTGCACAATTTTTTCCCAGAAGTTGGCAAATGGCCCCTTAACAACATCCTGGGGTAGCTGCCAGAGTACCTTCTCTCAAAATACTAACTTCCAAAGGAGCAATCAACAGCCAGAGAAATGGTGTGTTTAGAGTGAGAAATGACTTGTTCTGTCATCGTAATGATGATCACTTCCTTGCAGATTTTTTCCTGTACATCAAATATGTATGATTATATATGAGAAGCATAATCCCTAGTCACTTAAAAAAATTGATATGCCTTTTATAGTGTGGGAAATGAATTAAAAAGCTACCTGTGCATGCTGATAGGCACACAGGTTTACTACCTTTCCCTTGGGGTTGCCTTCTGACAACCTCTTCCTTTTTCCTGCTACCATGTACTTTTAGGCTTTGCAAATGGTTATGGGACAACTTATGTGTGTTGAAGATGCAAAAATGATTTTCTGTGATGATCCTTTGACTCAAAATATGACCATCGTTTTGGAAATCAGGCTGGGTAGTGTCTGAAACCTACAATGACAGCTTGCTGAAAGATGATTCAGTTGCTTCTCAACTTGGCCCATTTCCCATGTCCAAGTCCAGTTGAAGAGCAGCATTTAACTCCATTTATATGAGCATCTTTGATAGAGAGCAAGGGTGTCTGGCAGGGAGGGATGCCTGCCTTCCACCTCAAATCCAGCTGTCTTTGACATTCCAGACAGCTCTTTCAAATGTGGGCAACACTTAAGTCACCTTATTGGTAGCCATGGACTATTTGAAGTGAGATCTAACAATATGATCGTAAGTCTCTGACATTACCTGTGCTCTGGGAAATTTATTTATATCCTTCCTCTTTCAAATGGAAATTTTAAGATATCTCACAATAAAAGCTATACATAATAAGGTTTTTCACGTAGAAGCAATTTGAAAATCATGAAAAGAGGAAGGAAACACGCTAGCCAGAATGCATAATGACATTACTGTGAATTTGGCCCCAGGATCATTTAAAGATCCAGCAGTAAGTGTATCATTAAATACATTCTGGTACAACCACATAACAGATTATTGAGCCAGGGTGAGTTTGTAACAATGAGGGAAAATGCTTACAACTACAATATTAAGAAGAGAGTGGGTTAAAAACTATAAAATTCTCTCAGCTATTTACAAAAAAATTGAGAAAAATATTGGAAGAAAATTCACCAGTATATTAACTTGGTTGCTGAAATGATGTGGTTTTTGTTTTCACCTTTACCTTTTCTCCTATTTTCAGATAGTTGTAATGAATATGTATTACTTTTACAATCATATATAAATACTATTTTTTCAGTTGCACCTGAGCTTCCTGATAGAAAAGCCAGAAAGGAAACTATTATAAGTTACATGACTCTCATTAAGTGTAAAAAAAAAAAAAAAAAAAAAAAACCCTCTCTCAAGCCGGGCATGATGGCTTACACCTGTAATCCCAACAATATGGGAGGCTGAGATGGCAGATCACCTTAAGTCAGGAGTTCAAGACAAGCCTGGCCAACATGGTGAAACGTCATCTCTACAAAAAATACAAAAATTAACCAGGTGTGTTGGCGCGCACCTGTAATCCCAGCTACTCAGGAAGCTGAGAAAGGAGAATCGCAGGAAGCTGAGGCAGGAGAATTGCTTGAACCTGGGAGGCAGAGGTTGCAGTGAGCCGAGATCATGTCACTGCACTCCAGCCTGGGCAACAGACTAAGACTCTGTCTCAAAACAACAACAACAAAAACTGTCTCAGTCCTTCAAGATAAACTTTTCCTCGATAACTGAATTCCAAAAGAGGTTTACCATAAGTGATGCTGAATGACATAATACAAATCTTGGTAAGGTTCTTAGTGCAAATGCAGAAGGGGGTCTCCTATGACTATTTCCTGACCAACTTCAGGAAGATCTGAAGGCAGGGCTCTCCTGTAGGCTAAGGCTGTGGGAAGCTGCCTGCAGAGGGACTTGCACCTCACTGGGCTTTCCTCTCTTAACTCTGTGTTTGGAATTTTCAAGAGTTGCCTTTGCCCACTGTATGTTGTTGCCCATTGTCTGGGAGATGTAGAGAACATCCCTCAGCTCTTTATTTCACACCTTGAGGATGAAACCGCCAGTCCTGGAAACCTGTCTTTTAAAATTAACGTGATTTCATTTCTGTCTCCCGCTTCAGGTGTTGCTGCACTGGATTCCAATGTATCTGGAAAAATTGGTCTACGTGCTGTCGTGTATTATTTCTGTACCACTGTCATTGCTGTAGTTCTAGGTAAAATTTCTTTCTGAATCCTTTTTACTCTAGTAATGGTGATTTCTTTTCGTTCAAAAAGTAGTTGGCGGCCATATGCCGTGGCTCAGGCCATTTCTAGGAGGCTGAGGTGGGCAGAGGATCCCTTGAGGTCAGGGGTTTGAGACTAGCCTTGCCAACATGGTGAAAAGCTGTCTCTAGTAAAAATACAAAAATATTAGTTGGGCATGGTAGCATGTGCTTGTAGTCCCAGCTACTTGGAAGTCTGAGGCAGGAGAATTGCTTGAACCTGGCAGGCAGTGGTTGCAGTGAGCTGAGATAACACCACTGCACTCCAGCCTGGGTGACAGAGTGAGACTCTCTCTCAAAAAAAAAAAAAGTAGTTAGGGCTGGACACAGTGGCTCATGCCTATAATCCCAGCACTTTGGGAGGCTGAGGCAGGCAGATCCCCAAGTTCAAGACCAGCCTGGGCAACATAGCAAGACCCCCAAATCTCTTTATAATTTAGAAAAATATATTTTTAAAAAAGTAGTTAGGCTTTTTCTAACACACATTTTTTTTAAATCAGAAAGTAGTATTGACAAAGTACCATGAAGCTTTTTCCTTTGAAGTCTGTCTGCATGGTATCTTTCATGTAATGAATGTAATGCTGGCTATATTTGAGCCATGGTGCTACTTATTAAAGTTTCAAGTGAAAAATGGAAAGAGGGTAACAGGTCTATGCCTTGTCAGGATCACTAGGTAGAAGGAAAGGAAGCCAAGCACTTATATAGTTTTTTTTTTTTTTTTTTTTAAGACAGAGTCTCACTCTTATTACCCAGGCTTTAGTGCAATGGCACAATCTCAGCTCACTGCAACCTCTGCCTCCTGGGTTCAGACGATTCTCCTGCTTCAGCCTCCTGAGTAGCTGAGATTACAGATGCACACCACCATGCCCAGCTAATTTTTTGTTTTTTTTAGTAGAGACAGGGTTTTGCCATGTTGGCCAGACTGTTCGCGAATCCCTGACCTCAGGTGATCCTCCCGCCTTGGCCTCCCAAAGTACTAGGATTACAGGTGTGAGTCACTGCACCTGGCCATTTATATAATTCTTAAAGTGGATAATTACTCTCTAATAGTGGAGTTGAGTATACTTATAAAATATTTCCAGAAATATAGCACTTTAGTGCATTTCACACAGTAACAAGAGCTAACAGCTAATAGAGCCTTGCTAAGGATAAACCCCACTTGTAAGAGGGACAAAATTCTAATAAGGGAGCAGCTGTTCTTATACCTTTAGCATGGTGTCTTGAAGAATGCTTAGTCTTTGTAACCTTGTGTGACATTTTAAGAAGAATGCGCAGAATGGGAAGACAGAAAGAGCATGTACTCAGATGTGGCAGCAGCTTGGCCCTTGTAGCTCTGCTTTAATGAGCTGATAAGAAGGGGTGGAATGTGGTGAGGCTTTAGTGGTATTAGGCCAAGGGACCCAGTGGGGCCTGAACTCTGCCATAAAACCAAATCACATCATCTCATGAGTTTGCTGAGGCAGACAGACACAGAGAAAAAGTAGCAGTAAGAAGCAATATGCTGCTCTCCTATTAGCTGGAGTTGTACATCCCTTCTAGAACCCTGAGAGAGGAGAAGAGTGGGCCATGCCCACTCATGGTCCCTTAGTGCCCTGTGACTCCTCCCACTAGCAAAATGGATCCATTCAGCATCCCAGAGCCCTATACCCCTTGGATTAGCATTGCCTCCTCTTGAGGGAGGAGCAATAAAGAACATGAGGTCCTTTTTCTTCTTCATTTCCCTCCAGTCAAACACGCTCCAATGCTTTAGTCTCTTTTCCTCCCACGTTGGCTCGGACACTCAAGTGACAGGAACCCATTACATCCCACGGCCACAATGGTGCTGTCAGATGCTCTGTCATGTAGACAGTTCTTCCTTACAGAGAGATGAACCTTCTCTCCCTGTAACTTCCATCTATTTGTCTTCATTCCACCCCTGGAACAACATTGTCCCACATGGCTGCTTTCTAGACACTTGAAGACCTATGGTATGGAAGGAAGGCAAGGCTTGTTTTGTAGCATCTGTGGATAAAAGTTGCAGAAAGACATCGATGCATTCTCTGGGCTGGAAAATGGATCATCCCTACCCTAACACCTTGCTAGACTGATCTCATAAGTTCAAGGAAAAGAATATTCTCATCAGCAGGTGTTTCCAGAAGCACACACACACACACACACACACACACACACAGAGTTCTTTCTGTTTACTCATTTAAATGGAAGAGTAATTAAGGTAGCTGCTGAGATTCCAGAGGAGGCTCAGCGTTTTCAGCATTTTGGCTGGACCTCAGGGTCCCCCCCATCACAGTATTGTCTGGTACAACCATGCCCACTGTTCTAAACGTGCTAGGTGTTCCAGGTGTCCTGGAAGGTTCCTAATGCTCTGTGGACACTGTCCTTGGCCACAGGTATTGTGCTGGTGGTAAGCATCAAGCCTGGTGTCACCCAGAAGGTGACTGAAATCGAGAGGACAGGCAGCACCCCTGAAGTCAGTACAGTAGATGCCATGTTAGACCTCATCAGGTAAGTGTCTTGCCACAAGGTGGCTTCAAGGGCCTGCGACCCTATAGTAGCACAAGGCCTTGTGCATGGTTTAATGTTCTGCTGTTCCTTTATTGAAATTTTTAATAATTTTTGAATTATTTTGTACTTTCATTTTGCCCAGGAACCCACAAATTACATACCCAATACTGCTTGCCAAGTTTTGGTTCCAAGAGGGAAGGACAGAAACAGGCTTCTGCGTCAGGATTTAGAATGAAGAGAGATGCAGATGCATGTTGCAGAGAGATGCTGGGATGGATTGGTAGTCAGTTCTGGAGCACCCTTAGAAAAATACATTTTTTAACTGTACAGGAGAAACCTTCTTACCTAAAGCTACCAGAGCTATAAATAGGTCAGTCAATTAAAAAAAAAAAAAAAACAGTTAAAGCAGAGACTCATAAAAAATGATATAAGATACATGTTACATATTTTATTTTCACTTAAAACTTAATGAATTTATTTACCAATTTTTTGACATAAGACCAAGGTCTTTTCTTCAAGTTTGTCAGCTCATGGTAATTTCATACCGTTTCTGTTGCATATGCCGCCCTTATAAATGCATCATCTGCAATTTGCAGATAAAGTTTCTATAGAAGAGAGCACCAAAACATTTAGACATTGCAAAGAAAGCTGAGTGTAAATCTTTCCAGTTTTTCTTTTTATTTCTATAATCTCCCCATAACTAATCTAACCATAAACATATTAAGTCACTGGCTTTTATTGAGTTTCTAGGCATGCAGCTTAGAGTTTTAGAAACCATACCTTCCTTTTTATGTTCATATTTTATTGGTTGATACAATATGTAATTCAGTAATTATGATGATATTTGCAACTGGTATAAAGAATTTTGGAACAAATACAATTAACTCTTGGTAAGTGTATTAGTCTGTTTTCATACTGCTATAAAGAACTACCTGGGACTTGGTAATTTATATAGAAAAGAGGTTTAATTGACTTACAGTTCCACATGGCTGGGGAGGCCCCAAGAAACTTACAATCATGGCAGAAGGCAAAGGGGAAGCAAGGCACATCTTACATGGCTGCAGGAGAGAGAGTGTGGCGAAGGAAGAAGTGCCACACACTTTCAAACAACCAGATCTCTTGAGAACTCAATCATGATCATGAGAATAGCATGGGAGAAACTGCCCTCCACGATCCAGTCACTTCCCATGAGGCCCCTCCCCTGGCATGTGGGGATTACAATTTGACCTGAGATGTCGGTGGGGACACAGAGCCAAATCATATCATTAAGCATACATCCTCACTGATGAACACAGAAATGTTCAGAATATTAAAGAACCAATCGTCTCTTAACTGTGAGTGTCCATTTCATCAAGGAGAGCAAGCATGTCAGTTACTCAGTGAATCAGTTAAGTGATGGTTGATTGGGAGAGCTTTCTATACAACCTCCTCTATGGTTGATTAGAAGAGCTTTCTATACTTGGGTGAAGCACAGCAGGAAAAAAGAAATCTCAAAACAAGGAAGTATTAGGAAAAGGAGAGGCCAGAAGAGAAACCAGAGTGTTAATTTTATATTATACTCATTTCCAGCAATATATTAGGTATGACAAAACAATTCTGTTTGCCCTACATAATACTGCCTTTCATGTCTCCAACAGGAATATGTTCCCTGAGAATCTTGTCCAGGCCTGTTTTCAGCAGGTAATATTAATTACTTGAGCCCTTAAGTTGCTACGCTCTTCCAGTTATTAATTAAGAGATTTTTTTTTTCGGCTTCCCATTATTAATTAAGAGATTTTTTTTCCCAAGAAATGGAATAAGCCTGATGAAAATGACAGCAGGAAGTATACCTGTGACGGGCAGAGTTTAAGGTGATGTCTCTGTTTTGTGTCCAGCCTTGCTGGCTCACAGTAAGGTGCATGTCACAATTTACTCTGCTTCCTTTTCTTTTATGCTTTTTCCCCCAAAAAGGCTCAAATGGTACAAGTCAGAAATCTGTCAAATAATGAGTATTTTAAAATGTGGCCTCCAGTACCTACTTTTAGAGAACCGCGATATATTTTTATGGAAATTTAAACTGTCTGCAGAAAAAAGGTAGCTCTCTATCTCCTCTTTCCTTTTCCTCTGGTATCAGAACCCAGGATCTAACCTTCATGGTGTGCTCCACGTCTGGGTTCAGTCTTCTCCTTAATCATTGTGTGCCACACAGGCATAGAAGCTTACACCTGTCATCCCAGCACTTTGGGAGGTCAAGGTGGACAGATCTCTTGAGCTCAGTAGTTCCAGACCAGCCTGGGCAACATGGCAAGACCATGTCTCTAAAAAGAAATAATAAAATAAAAAATCATTTCATCCCCATTGCTGGAGCTCTACAGAGTAGTGTAACAAAGCCATGATTTTTTTTTTCCTCTGGAAAATTGAACAATCTCTTCACTCCATTTACTTCAAGCCTTTCCCTCCTATTTATCTATGTGCTTTAAGACAGCTGAGTCCATCACAAAGTGCTGTATTCATTTACATAAATTACATGAACAGAGACTTCTGTATATACCAACAAAAATGGCAATTCTGTTGCTCCCTGCCGGCCTCCACAAGGAACAGAACCTCCTCTATTGCAGGGGGGCCTTGCAGATCAGTCACAGTGGTTGTTTGTAAGGTTCTCGGTGTTGGCAGAGCCTTGTGGGGGGACATTTATCCCTGGTGTAATAATATACTCACTCTTTCTTAAACTCCCATGTGGAAGTTCCACAGAACCAAACAGGGTTGAAAGAAGAGAATTCAACAGCAGCCTCACTCACTGAATAGCCCTATGGGGACTGTTGATTTTGGAACAACCATATCATTAAACCTTTCTTGACGCTTATTAAAGTTGTGATGATGTTATCAAAATGATGAAATGTTTTTGCTTATATTAAAAATAATTTATTAATTTAAAATAAATATTAAATAATTTATGAATTAATAAAAACAAAAATGATTGACAGGAATCCTTACAGAGTCTGTCTCTGAAAACACCTGCAGATCTGGCCAGTACTCTCTTTTGTATTATTGCTCCATCAACTTGTCACTTATTGTGAAAGTGAAGGAACATTTTGACATAATTGAATGGGATTATGGGAGTCAGGGGTTTAAATGTCTCAGTCCTGCTTTTAGTTCCAAAATGTGATGGGAGGTATCATTGACAACTGGAGCCAACAGAGGCATGGGAAGTAGATCTCTTCAGCAGCTCGTGTTTGGCCAAAATAACATGTTCCTGTGATTTGGCCTCAAAAGCTTAAAAAGAGTTCTTTTTTTGTTTGCTTGTCCTTGATTTTCTCCAACATGCAGTACAAAACTAAGCGTGAAGAAGTGAAGCCTCCCAGCGACCCAGAGACGAACATGACAGAACAGTCCTTCACAGCCGTCATGACAACTGCTATTTCCAAGGTACCATTCTTGTTTTCTGTTGCTCTTCCCCAGGAGGCAGGCACTGAGTCATAACTGAGCAGGAAATATAGTCAATCTGCATCATTCATAACATCTGCATTTGTGAATTCACCTACTTGCTAAAATTTATTTCTGATCCCAAAACCCATCCTTACAGGGCTTTCAGTAATCTGCAGGCACACAAAGAGCGGCAAAATATTTGAGTCACCCGACAGGCATGTTCCCAGCTGAGGTTCGATGAGGCTGGGCTCTGCCTTCTTGCTTTGGTTCTCATACTGGAAACAGTGTCCATTCTGCAGTGTGTTCATGTCACATTTTTTGCATTTTTGTGATTTTTTTCTTGCTGATTTCTCTGTTTAAAATGGACCAGGGCTCAGTTCAGTGACTCATGCCTATAATCCCAGCATGTTGGGATGCCAAGGCAGGAGGATCTCTTGAGCCCAGAAGTTCTAGACCAGTCTGAGCAACATAATGACACTTTACTTCTACAAAAAAAAGTAAAGTAGGCAGGTGTGATAGTGCACACCTATAGTCCCAGCTACTTGGGAAGCTGAAGTAGGAGGATCACTTATGCCAGGGAAGTCAAGTGAGCCATGATTAATGACTGCACTCCAGCCTGGGTGGCAGAGTGAGACCCTGTTTCAAAAAATAAAATAAAATAAAATGAACCAGATGGACCAGGCTGGGAATGGCATCTCACAGCTGTGATTCCAGCACTTTGGGAGGACAAGGCAGGTGGATCATTTGAGGCCAAGAGTTTGAAACCAGCCTTGGAAATATAGTGAGACCCTATCTCTACAAAACATTTTAATATTAGCCAGTTGTGGTGGCACATGCCTGTAGTCCCAGATACTTGGGAGGCTGAGACAGAAGGATCATTTGAGCTGTGACTGCACCACTGCACTCTGGCCTGGGTGACAGAGCAAGACTCTTTTCTCAAAAAAAAAAAAAGAAGGGCCAAATCATTATGCTGAAGTGCTCTCCAGTGTTGCTAAGCACAAGGAGACTGTGATGTGCCTTCGGGAGAAAATCTGTGCTTTAGACAAGCTTCATTCAGACATGAGTTATAGCCTGTTGGCTATGAGGTCAATATTAATAAGTCAACAATCTATATGAAAAACAAGGTATCTTTAAACAGAAACACATACAACAATGTTATATATTGATTGCTGAAAAGGATGTGTCCAAGGTTCCCAGAAAGTGAACCCTGCGTTTCCCTCAGGTGCAACAGTTCAGTATTTGCTAATTCAGTGTTCATGGGGACTTTATAGAACATAAATACCTGGAATAGAGAGAATCAACCATAAAGAGTGAAAAAATGAGCCCTGTTTCTTCTACTTCTCTGTCTGCTTACAGTAGAGCTGGCCATCTCTAGGAACTGCTGTCGATTTGCCAAGTATATTAGCATGCAATGAGGGTCCACAATTCCTAGTCCGACTCTCTCTGCCCAGATGTGATTTGGAGTTCAGAGTTTCTCAGACTTTAGAAAGGCCATCTGGTGTATGTATTGCATATGATGCAACCTTTGCAAGTAGGATGGGCAACAACATGCCAGAATCAAGCACATCAATGTTTTTGTAACAAACTCACAAATATTCTGCCAGGGAGAGAAATGAACCCTTAGTAGCCAGGAGCCTCATGTCAGTTCAGGATAGGTTTTGCTGCCAAAAGAGTTTAGTATAAACTTATCAATAAAATCGATGTGCTTTGAGAGCTTTTCCAATTTCAGAATTGGAGATAAGACTGTCTGGGCATGCAGTGGTACCTTTGCAGGCTTATAATAAATTTCTCCTGAATGTTCTCTCAACTTCACACAGAAAGGAACGATTTAAGGAGAAAAGGAATATTCATTAGACTTAAGGATTCAAATTAAGGCTGGGCCTGGTGGCTCAAGCCTATAATCCCAGCACTTTGGGAGGCCGAGACGGGTAGATCACAAGGTCAAGAGATCGAGGCCATCCTAGTCAACATGGTGAAACCCCATCTCTACTAAAAATACAAAAATTCGCTGGGCATGGTGGTGCGTGCCTGTAGTCCTAACTACTCGGGAGGCTGAGGCAGGAGAATTGCTTGAACCCAGGAGGCAGAGGTTGCAGTGAGCCGAGATGATGAATCATGCATGATGATTTTTGCCTTTGCTTGCCATTTTTCTGAAATACGCTTTTTCTCCTGGCTGCCGACTCCTCAGCCCTAGCTTTCCCTAATCTCGAAACCCTCATTCATGTCCCACTCTCCATTTGATGTTTGTATCTCATAGTTTGGATGCCTAATTAATTACATGCCATCCTGCTATGATTGGCTCATGCTTTTCAGAGTCTTGTTTCTTCAGCTGAATCCTAAGACCTTATGCTGTAGCCAGTGCAGTAATGCTCTAGCTTTTCCCTAAATATATGTTTGATCATAAGTAAGAAATGACTGGTAGCCCAGTGGCTCCTCAACATAATTTTATTTTATTTTTGAAATAGAGTATCACTCTATCACCCAGGCTGAAGTGAAGTGGTACCGTCTTGGCTCACTACAGTCTCTACCTTCTGGGTTCAAGCAATTCTCCTGCCTCAGCCTCCCAAGTAGCTGGGATTACAGGCACCTGCCACCATTCCTGGCTAATTTTTGTATTTTTAGTAGAGACCAGGTTTCACTATGTTAGCCAGGCTGGTCTCGAACTCCTAACCTCAGGTGATCCACCTGCCTTAGCTTTCCAAACTGCTGGGATTACAGGCATGAGCCACCGTGCCTGGCTAACATAATTCTTTATAAACCTAGTTGGCACCACTCAGTTGTCTCTCTGTAAATCTCAGGCTTTTACCCAGGATAAAGTGAAGAAATTAAGCCAGCCATGGTGGCATGCACCTGTGGACCCAGCTACTTGGGAGGTTGAGGCGGGAGGATCACCTGAGACCTCCCTTGAGGAGTTTGAGGCTACGGTGAGCTATGATCATATCACAGTAGTAGGTATTTAAATTAATTTTTAATATGTCTAAAATCATACCAGTGACAGACTGGATAAAGAAAATGTGGTACATATGCACCATGGAATACTATGCTGCCATTAAAAAAAAGAACAAGATCACGTCCTTTGCAGCGACATGGATGGAGCTGGAGGCCATTATCCTCAGCCAGCTAACACAGGAACTGAAAATCAAATGCTGCTTGTTCTTACTCAGAAGCAGGAACTAAATGATGAGAACACATAGAGGGGAGCAACACACACTGGGGCCTTTCGGAGGATGGAGGGTAGGAGGAGGGAGAAGATCAGGAAAAAGTAGCTAATGGATACTAGGCTTAATACCTATGTGATCAAATAATCTGTACAACAAACCCCCATGACACACATTTACCTGTGTAACAGACCTTCACATCCTGCACCACATATACCCCTGAATGTAAAAGTTTAAAAAAATCCTGGCAGGGCGCGGTGGCTCATACCTGTAATCCTAGCACTTTTGGAGGCTGAGGTGGGTAGATCACGACTGTCCTGGCCAACATGGCAAAACCTTGCCTCTACCAAAAATACAAAAAATTGGCCAGGCATGGTGACAGGCACCTGTAATCCAAGCTACTCGAGAGGCTGAGGCAGGAGAATTGCTTGAACCTGGGAGGCAGAGGTTGCAGTGAGCTGAGATAATGCCACTGCACTCCAGCCTGGGTGACAGAGCAAGACTTTGTCTTAAAAAAATTAATAATAATAATAATAATCCTATTGGTCATCCAAGACCATAGGCATAAAGAATGTCACTGTGCTTCATTATCAGGGTAAAACAGATGGTAAGATGTCCTAAAAGTGTTCACACTGGTAAATACTTTGTACTTCCTGCATTATTAATTCCTGTCTTTTTTCAAGCAGACTCCATATATAGCTAGTAGTTAAAATGACCCTGAAAAGTGCCTTGATTCTAAAATTCATAATAAAAATGTAAACCATTCCAGAATAAGAAATCTTTATAAGAAATATTCAAATATGGACTTGTTGAGAGAAGAAAAAGAATTTTAACTTCGGGGAGCAAGGGTAAAGTTTGTTACATGCATAGGTGTTTTTATATTGTTTTTATATTTTCTAAAGTTTTGTTGACTCTGCCTGGGAGACCACCAGTTTATTATATTTGGTCATTGTATCTTCTCATTTCGGGACCTGTACTTTCTAACAAGATTATAATCATGCATCAATATGTTTTCTTGGTTTTGATCTACAGAACAAGACAAAGGAATATAAAATCGTTGGCATGTATTCAGATGGCATAAATGTCCTGGGCTTGATTGTCTTTTGCCTTGTCTTTGGACTTGTCATTGGAAAAATGGGAGAAAAGGGACAGATTCTGGTGGATTTCTTCAATGCTTTGAGTGATGCAACCATGAAAATCGTTCAGATCATCATGTGGTGAGCAGACACTGTTTAATGTCATTTTGCTTCCCCTGACAATTCTCTCTCCTCAGAATTAGAAAGGAGAGGTTTGTTTCTCAGTGATCTCATACTAGAGAAGTTGGACATTTAATATTGAGCCACCAGAGTATTTTGGGGGAACTTTTGTTGTTACTTGTTTTTGTTTTTGAGACAGGATCTCACTCTGTCACCCCAGGCTGGAGTGCAGCGGCGCAATCTCGACTCACTGCAGCCTCTACTTCCTGTGTTCAAGTCATTCTCCCATCTCAGCTTCCTGAGTAGCTGGTACTACAGGCATGCACCACTATGCCCAGCTATTTTTTTGTATTTTTTGTAGAGACAGGGTTTTGCCGCGTTGTCCAGGCTGATCTCAAAGTCCTGGGCTCAAGTAATCCACCCACTTCATCCTCCCAAAGTGCTGGGATTACAGGCATGAACCACCATACCCAGCCACCACCCGAGTATTATATAATTTCACATTATTACCCAGGAGTAAGTTCATGAACAAAAGTCTAGCTTTCAACCATTGTCTTTTCCCTCCAAGCCTTGGGGGATCATCTTGCATCCAACCAGCCTTCATGAAAGAAGCAATTCTTTAAAAAATGATCTGAAGTTCATTGTACATAAGAACACAAAGTGCTTTCCCTATTATGCCCCATGCAAAAGTGAGTTTCAAAATATTTATAACTGGTACAGCATGGGCATTAACCCTTGCCCATCTGTAGGCATATCAGTGACACTGTGTAAAATGTCTGCCTTATTCCTGGAGATGCAAAAAAGCCCACCTTTCTTAGGAGGCATCTGCCTCGCTTACCGCATATTTAATTGAGTCAACATTACTTAATCCAAAGTGTAGGCATTGACAGTGACGTAAAGGGTTCAGTAAAAGTGGCCAGACAGGGCACTTAATACTGCAGAAACCTCAGCCTCATCATCTGTTAAAAAGGACAATAAAACCTACCCCCAGGGATAGGAGAAGTAAATCAAATGAAATGATGCACATAAAATACTTTCCCTAACTCAAGATGTAATGAGAGCTCCACAAATAGAGCTATTATGACCACTTCCAGTACTAATACTATTGCCTCCATTGCTGATAACTGGGAAACATGAGATGACCATGGCTAGAAAGAGCCATAGTTGGCAACAAGGATCAAACTCAAGTGAGATCTGCAGATATGACAATCAGCAGGATATATATGCACTACGAACATGGCATGAGGTGTGCACCCATCTAACCACATGTTCTTGCCAAGTTTGCAAACTACTCTATGGTAGTTTGGATGGGTAGAATTTAAGGTGCACACAGGTACTAAAAACTAGAGCCAATATAGTTCACCCAGGACTTGAAACAGCTCTTAGCTTCAATTCTGCATCCTGTGCTCATGCCCAGCTGGGGGTGACCATGCCCAGGTGAGGGTGCAGCACTGGCATGTTCCTTCCCCACCAACCCAGCATGAGAAGACGCTTGATGACAGAATCACGGCCTGTTGTGCTTCCTTTCCAGTTACATGCCGCTAGGTATTTTGTTCCTGATTGCCGGGAAGATCATAGAAGTTGAAGACTGGGAAATATTCCGCCAGCTGGGCCTCTACATGGCTACAGTCCTGACTGGGTATGTCAGACTCAAGTGAAGAGAGAGAAAGCTCCTTTGATCCAATAGGATGGCCACTGAGAGGCTGGGTTTTAGTTGGTTAAAACTGGCTTCTCTCCTATGTGCTGGGAAAGACAGGGTTCAGAGATAAGAGAGCAGGAAGAGGAGGGCTGCCCTTTGACAGCTGTACTGTAGGTGGATCCCGCTGCGCTAATTGTCAGCTCTTGGCAGAACAGCCTGGACCAGGCTTTGTCACTGCCTTTATTGGTTATGTTGAAACAATTTTTTTAAATAAGAGAGAAACCCACTTGTAGCCTCTCTTGGCTCTCCCCTGGCCTTCATTTCCTTAAGAATTTAAACTAGCTAAGTAAGTAAGAATAGCCTCCATGTACCCTGAACCTGAAAGAAATTAGCAAGGGCCTAAATGAAATCAAGACTTGAGCAAGTAGGAGCAGGATGGCTGCTAGTTCCAACACTGTTGCTGGGGCTGTTCACCACCACCATGGCCTACACCATCAGAATGTCAGAGACGGTGCCAGGAGAATCTCAAGGCTTGGAGGAATTATATGGGCCTTTTTAGAAGCCATTAAACAGGAAGGCAGAGGGAATGGGTTGTTTGCATATTTATTGCAGCCTAGCTATTGTTTCCTTGAGAAAAGATGCGGTGAGTAAGTTATTAATGGTGCCCCTGGACACCTGGCCAGGGACAGAATATGTCACATATGCTAAGAAATGCAGATCAAGGGAATAAGTAAATATCATTGATTTGACCCCACAAGTCACTATCTACAAACACCCAACTTGAGCAATCAACTCAGCTATTGGAACTTGATCGCACTGGAGATTTCCAGCACAGAGCATTTAGTTCTTGATCTGTGTTTCCCAAAACACAGATCAACACAGAGGCAGCCTTGGTCCCTACAGTGTGAGGACCATGGTGCCAAGGGGGGCAGGACTTCCACCTCACTGGAAGCCACCCTGCTGCAGGGCCGCTGAAACAGGCAGTGCCAGGAATTGTGTCTCAGCAGTGATGTGGCTGGGGTGTATGAGCTGAGCCATTTCATAACGGAGTTCTGCCGGTATCTATTCTTTAACCCAGCTAGGTGTCTAACAGAAAACTAAAAGTCAATCCTCATAGTTTTTAGCTACAAGCTCTCTCTCAAGAAGATCCTCTCTCCAGGCCTCCAGGATCTATATTTTTGATGACCATTTCCTATTATTTCAAACACACATAACTGATCTGTAAACTCTAAGTTGCCAGTCACATATACATCCATCTGCCAAATGAGTCTCATATTAAGCCCCCTAGTTCATGTGACCTGTGTATTTCCATGTGAAACAAACAACAGTTTGAGAAGGCAGGAATAATAAAGAAAAGAAAGTCCATCCTAAAATATGACTGTGGAAGAACTGAGACTTCTTTCCTTACTGTAACTCTGACTTCCTTCTTGGGCAGTGGGCCCCACCAGCAAGACAGCAGCTCGGTACAGGGGATGGAGGTGGTGAGGACTCAGCCCTGTGATGAGGGGTATAATGAAGTATGATGTAGTAGTGACACAGTGGACGCCAAGGAGGGAAGGCTCAGCCCTACCTGGGGAAGTGAGGGAAGGCTTCCTGGAGCAAGGGGGATGCCTAGCTGAGTCTTAGAGAATTCAGCAGCAGCAGAAGAAAATAAAGGGCATTTTTGTACATGTGGCAGGAACAGCACACACAGGGGTGTGGCAGCATGAAATAACTGTTCTGTGAAGCCTCGAATTTGGATTCAGCTACTAGCTTTGTCATGAACTCTCACAAGATGCTTCATTTGCTGAGTGAGCCTCTACACCCTCATATGTGGAATGGGGATGTATATTCCTGCCCTACTCCCATTTTCTCCTTAGGCCATTATGAAAGTCAAACAGTTTAATGAATTAAAAAGCTATTTGATAAAAGGATTAAGTATAGGGAGGTAGTATTATCTTTGAAACTTTATCTTTCTTGTTTACAGGCTTGCAATCCACTCCATCGTAATTCTCCCACTGATATATTTCATAGTTGTACGAAAGAACCCTTTCCGATTTGCCGTGGGAATGGCCCAGGCTCTCCTGACAGCTCTCATGATCTCTTCCAGGTAAACAGACAAGGGGTTTTGGGAAGAAGCCTCCCAACCTAACATTATCAACTCTCACCTCACTTCACAAAACAGACTCCAGTTTGCGGGTTTTGTAGCTGCCTTTGAGAAATGACCGCCATATTCTCTGCCCTGGCCCTGAATACACTGCTTCACGCTGTTACTTATTTCCTGCCCTCTTAGCATGGTCTGCAGCTCAGGGAAGGGTTATGGTGTCACTGGGAGCAGCGGTGCACGCAGCACCTTCTAATTCATGGACCTGCCAACAGGGCCAGCATGGTTTAGACCCTTTGTTTCATTTTGTTTTGTCGTTTTCTTTACTTTTCTCAACAAGATAACCTAAAAGGACCCTTTGTTTCCTTTCTGGAAGACAGGCATATCTTCAGGCAGGGACTGAGGACTGCCATTCTAGACCATAAGTTCCTTTCTCTTTTCTTCACACAGCTCGGCAACACTGCCTGTCACCTTCCGCTGTGCTGAAGAAAAGAACCAAGTGGATAAGAGGATCACTCGATTCGTGTTACCCGTTGGTGCTACAATCAACATGGATGGGACGGCGCTCTATGAAGCAGTGGCAGCGGTGTTTATTGCACAGTTGAATGATCTGGACTTGGGCATTGGGCAGATCATCACCATCAGGTGGGGTGTGGTGTTACACTCATTGTCATTGGTGATATAGGGATTACCTCCACTAAAAATGGTTTGTGAAGGGACACCAAGAATGTCCCAGTGATGGATTCTTTTTCTTGATCTACAAAGTCTCTTTCGAAGATTAAATACAACTATATCCTGGTATGCATGGCATGACATAGGGAGAGTTTGTAGAGAAGAGAAGGAGATTAAGGACTGAGGCTTGGAAAATCCTAATATTAGAAGCAGATAGAGAAGGGAAAATCCAAGAGGGAGAGGGAAAGGAAGAAGAAGAGAGATGGGTGGGGAGCCAGTAAACCTTGGTATCATGGAAACGCAGAAAAGAGAGATTTTCAAGGGTGAAATGGTCCACAGAGTCAGATGCTGCAGATAATTTTAGTGAAATAAGAACAGAAATTGTCTGCTCAAGTAGATGGCAGAACTGTCATTAGTGGATTTTGCCAGAGTTGTTTCTCTATGACAGCACTGTACAGTATGGTAACCACTAGCCATGTGGCCCACTGAATTAGATAGTGCAGACATAGAATAGTTTCATCATTGCAGAAACGTGTTTTGGACAGTGTTGTGTTAGAGTGATAGGCTGGGATTAGAGTTAACCTGGAGACTCTTGTTCAGTTTAGAATGCAAGTTAAAGACTAAACTGGGTCCCTAGGCCTGCTCAAGGTTGAATCTGAACTTTTTAAAGTAAATTCATTCTTGTGTTTCCAGCCTAGATATAAATTCTAGGCATAAAGTCAGAGTTTGTTAACTAACAATGTTCTAATACAATGCATTTTTTAAATCCTACCCACCCCTAAATCACAAAGTATTTCTGTTGGCTAAAGACAAGTGCAAAATACATCATTTGGCACACCAGCTGGGGAACTATCCCAATGCCGTGTAATCTATAAAAAGTGTTAGTGGCTAAAGAAGTCCATGCCAGGGCCGGGCACGGTGGCTCAAGCCTGTAATCCCAGCACTTTGGGAGGCCGAGGTGGGTGGATCACGAGGTCGTGAGATCGAGACCATCCTGGTCAACATGGTGAAACCCCGTCTCTACTAAAAATACAAAAAATTAGCTGGGCATGGTGGCGCGTGCCTGTAATCCCAGCTACTCAGGGGGCTGAGACAGGAGAATTGCCTGAACCCAGGAGGCGGAGGTTGTGGTGAGCCGAGATCGCGCCATTGCACTCCAGCCTGGGTAACAAGAGAGAAACTCTGTCTCAAAAAAAAAAAAAAAAAAAAAAAAAAAAGAAATCCATGCCAAAGAGATTGAGTAAAGTCCTGTGATTATTAACAGCAGAGAGCATGTTAAAATTGAAATCTGGAATCATGCCTGAGAAAGTTTCTGCTCCATAACCACCCCTGTTCTTCCAATAGTTGCTACTTCTATATTTCCAAGGGTTTTTTCCCACTTCCCTAACCCTGGGCTGTGGAACCCAGTCTCCACTGAACTGATTTCCAAGGAGTGGCTGTATGAGGTGCCAATTCTCATAGTATTTGCCACTTTATGATGAAATCCCTCCCTCTTTTTTAGTTATAAGTTTTCTAAATCTTTCTAATCATTTTTTTAACCTGAGTGCCAGAGGAATCAACTGGGTCTAGAGGCTAAATAGTCAATTCACATTAAAGGCTCTCCCCCTACTCTCCGGTGTATTCTTAAATCAGATTTGCTGATAACTACTGGCCCAGAACCAGTAACAACTCTGAGACCCAAAGTAATCATTGGCTTAAAATTAAAAATTGTCCCTGGTTCTACTTGGGAAATAATAAAAATTGGTTTTACTTGAGAGTTAGTTAGAGTTCATATGGCTAATAGTTTTTAGGCCCAAAGTATATTTCTGTGGACTAGACATCAAAGAAACATAGGTACCATCTACCCAAAACATGCCCTTTTGTGGCTTTATCACAATACTCAAAGGCTACAACTGATTGAAAATTGGTGTGAGTATACATGTCAAAAAGAAATTGGATGAATTGTCTTATAAAGATAATTAGGGCCAGGAGCAGTAGCTCACACCTGTAATCCCAGCACTTTGTGAGACTTAAGTGGGTGAATCGCTTGAGTCTGCAGTTCGAGACTAGCCTGGGCAACATGACAAAACCCCATGTTTACCAAAAATATTCTAAAAGAGAAAAATTAGCCAGGCGTGGTGGCCCATGCCTGTAGTTTCAGCTACTCAGGAGAAGGCTGAAGTGGGAGGATTACTTGAGCCCAGGGGGCAGAGGTTGCAGTGAACTGAGATGGCACAACTGCACTCTAGGCAAAAAAAAAAAAAAAAAGTAAAGCTAATTATACAGCAGGGCTCAGTGGCTCACGCCTGTAATACCAGCACTTTGGGAGGCCAAGGCAGGCAGATCACTTGAGCCTAGGAGTTAGAGACCAGCCTGAGCAACATGAGGAAGCCCTATATCTACAAAAAATACAAAAATTAGCCAGGCATTTTGGAGTGCACCTGTGGTCCCAACAACTCAGGAGGCTGAAGCAAGAAGACTGCTTGAGTCCAGGAGGTAGGGGCTGCAGTGAGCTGTGATCATGCCACTGTACTCTATCCTGGTTAACAGAGTGAGACCTTGTCTCTGGAAAAGAAAAAAATCATAAAGAAGAAAGATAATTATAAGATTTGGGGCCTGGGAAGAACTGACAGAAAAAAAGGTAGCAGTAGTAATAGTAGTAGTAGTTGTTGTTGTAATAGTTCTTTTGGTTGCTGCAGTAGCAGTAATAATAATACCAGCGGTGGCAGCAACAGTAGCAGTAGAAGAAGCATCAGCAGCCTCTGCTGTTATTTCAGAAGCAGCAGCAGAATGGCACGTTTTCAATCTTTTTTTGTTTTTTGTTTTATTTTATTTTAAGCTCTGGGATACATGTGCAGAATGTACAGGTTTGTTACATAAGTATACATGAGGAAATGGCATGTTTTTAAGCATCTACTATACAGGTACTATACCAGATGTCTTATGTGTATAAACCTCATTTAATCTGCACAGCAGCTTGCAGTAGACATAATGTCCCCATCTTATAGGCAAGGAATTGAGATTCAGCGAAGTAACTTGCCTGAAGAAATGCCATCAGTAAAACAATAGAGCCCAAAGTATATCACCCAGGTGTGCCTGACACTAAAACCTGTATTCCCTCCAATTTACAACCCATCCTTCAACCTGTTTAGAGAACCAAGTTCAATAGGGTGTCCTAAAACTAGGCCTCAGTGTGAGGAAACAACTTTGTACCACTGATAGTTCTGTAAAAATCCTCTAACTCAAAGTAGAATATGTTCAAGCAGCAGGAATAGCTTTTTATATTATTTTCTCCCATCTAAAGGTTTATAGTTCCGAGTTCCAGACCAACACCAGTCAAATGGCCATAGTCTAGCAAGCAAGATCAAGGCTCAAAGACAGAGTTTTCTTTGACTAAATGCATTTTGAGTTTCAAGCCCAGCCTCAGGCTACACAGACATGGTTAACTGTGACACGTCAGGGTTTCTAAGAGGGCTCTGTTGGCATGGACACAAATCACTGCTGACAAAGAAAACCTGTTGATGCATTCCATTAAAATTTTTTTAACCAGCATTAAAATAAACTTGGGCCTTCCAAAGATGACTTAGGTCAGAAGAGATCTGCAGGGTTATAGAGACCAGAAACCTTTAGAGTGATTGGTACACAAATCTCTAATTTACTGTCATTTGGTGGTCAAACCACTGAATGAAAACACACTTGTCAAAGAACTCTGGCCTGTGTCTGACTGTACCCTCAAATGCTTTTTGCAACACCTCAGTAGGCAGATGAATGGGCAGAAGAATCAGCTTCCTAAGAACTCTTAAGACTTTGTTAGCCCCAAAGAATATGGATTTGTGGATAGAATCAGGGATTCTTCCCATTTAAATTGGCAATTTTTACATTTTCACCTTTCAACCCAGTGGCACCTGGGCAGCAGTTAAGGCCTTCGCCCAAGGGCAAGGACTTGTCTCCAGAAAGTATCACGGGTGTGGCCTCAAGCTTATCCAAGTCCAGGGACTTTTCAGGGCATGGTGAGTCCTTGTTTCCTTCAGAAAGATACAGTTAAAATAAGGAAGATGTTGCGGATAAAAAGAAACTGCACATTACAAACAGAAAAATTTCTACTGCCTCACCTGATCTTACCAAGTGGGATCTTTTTAAATAACTGGTAATAAAGTTCATCTGGCTGCCTCTCCTGGATTCCAGATCTTTCTTTCACACACAGTGTATCTCAGGAGTGAATGCTTGTATCTTGGACAGGAGTCAACTATTTCTCAATTCAGTGCCCTAAAGAGCATTTCCCAGAGCTAGAGTCCTGGGATGTCAAGAGAGTGCATAAAGCCTGCTTAACCATTGTCTCATTCCTTTGCCTTCACCTGAAATTCCATTGCCCATCCACCCCTACCACTATCCCTCTGTCCATCCTTCAGGGCAACTTAAATTCCTGTCATATATTAGGTGCTCAGTAAATTATTAGGTGCTGAGTAGATGGAATAAGGGAGTAGGAAGGCAGGTACAGAGGTACCTGGCACTTAATTACGATGAGTGTATATGTATATATACATAGATGAGTAGACAAAGCCTTATCTTAATACCTCATTTAGTAAACTCCTGCCCTCCTCTTGAAAATCTATCTTGCTCATTTTTTGTGGTGCCACTTAGGCAGCTCTTCCTTACATTAGAGTGGTGTGCCATATCTCCCTCTGCAAGGAGATGGCATTATACCCCTCCCCGCCCCATCCCACAGCTCTCATCCTGTAATGAGGCAGAGCTGGGACTTAGCAGGTCACAGATTCTGACTGCCCAATTTAGAGACACAGCAGTAATAGCCGTTGGGACTAAGCAGGACTAACCATTTCAGGCCAGAGGCTTTAACGGGAGAGGTAAATGTCTAACTCCTTTCCTGCTGGTTTGTTTCTGCAGTATCACAGCCACGGCTGCCAGCATCGGGGCTGCCGGCGTGCCCCAGGCCGGCCTGGTGACCATGGTGATTGTGCTGAGTGCCGTGGGCCTGCCTGCCGAGGATGTCACCCTGATCATCGCTGTCGACTGGCTCCTGTGAGTTGGAATAAATGCACTGCCTCAGCCAGCCTCGCGGGCTCTGCAACTATCTCCTCAGATTGCCTAATGAGCCACCTGTTGCTGCTTTAAGTTTCCTCTGACCAGGGCATCTGATAACGTGATTAATAATTAACTCCTCATAATGTGGAGCAGTGATTTTAAAAAGCCAGTGAGCTCCGTTAGCTCATTATACCTGGTAATGCTCAAGGTTAGGAGCTGGGTGTGGGACAAAGATAAACACAGAAGAACAAGCTGAAGAAGCCAGGCAGGGCCCTGGGACTATCCTGGACTATCACAGCTTGGTTCAGCATCATGGGCTCAGAACCACCTAGTTCAAAATCAGTCCATTATCCTAAGCATCTTCTGAACCATCAGGGACAGTGGCATGAGGAAAGGCTTGAGTAAGACTGACTTGGGTTTGAATCTCCATCCAGTGTCTTACCAGCTTCTTGACCTCGAGCAAGTTCCTTAACCTGAGGCTCAGCTGCATGATCTGTGAGATGGGAAAATGCCTGCCTATCTCACTGGGTTGTTTTAAGGACTGAGTTCATGTGAATGGAGTGTCTAGAACAGTGTCTGGCAGCCCATATGTGCTCAATAAATGGCAAGTTTTATTGTTATGATTAGAATGAGTTGGACCGTTCAGGCCCTAATCAACAACACTTCTGTCTCTCTGTCTCTGTCTCTCATACACACACACACACACACACATACATCATACACACGCACATGCACACACACACACGGAATACAGTAAAACATCTGGGTAAGAACGTACCTTTGGTGACCCTCAAGGTTAAAGTTAGAATAAGCCTGGCTCCTAGCTTTACCCTTGATGCCCACTCCTATGCATGTATCTTGCAGCATCTAGGTCTCAGTGTGTCTGCTGGCATTGTAGGTAAGTGTCACTCCACATAGAGCCTTTGCTCAGAACCAGCTCAGGCTCACTGGGAAATCCAATGCTATATACTGTAGTTTGCAGGTGGCAGATGAGATGGAAAGGGAAGCAGAGACATCCTATGTGGTCTTGAAAACACAGATTCACATTTCAGAAGGCAAAAGCCCCTGCACCTGGCTTGGAAGCTGTGCCATGGGGCGCCCCTTGAGCAGCTAGTTGGGCTATAGTCCCAAATGAGGTGGACCCTTCTTGCAAAGATATCCTGTCACTGAGGCAAGATTTGGTTCTTTCTAGTGATGATTATGGATTTGCATTTTTCCCCTTTCCCTGAGTCTTCTTGGAACCAGTTACCTTCATTGCCAAGATACTCAGATGAGTCAAAGGTCCAATCAGAGGCATGGGATAAAAAGACACTAGGGCCAGTTCAATCTCTGGCCTTGTTGTAAATAAGAGAAGGGCATCCAGGGTGGCCGTGGGTAAGCACTGTCAGCCTTTTCTATTCTGCAGGTGTAGTTTTCACAAGATTCCCCCTGCATGCTGTTCCTATAAACAAAGCGCCAGTATCAAACTGGATTCTTCCCTCTGCAGTGTGCCCTCTCTACCTGTCTTCCTGCCACTGGCCTCTTCTCCAGGCCGTCTGGGAGTTAAGACTGGATAAGGGTGACTCATGGAGAAATCCATTCCTGAGCTGACCTGTGTTTTCTGACCCTGTTCTCTGTGCCATGCCTACTGGTTTGCTCATAAGTAGAGTGACCTAAATTGGTAAATAAACAAGTACACCATGGACCTGAACAAACACACACATACCCCACATGCACTTGGTACATACGCCACCCACAAAACACTCAAGTTCTCTGACCTTAGCCTAATGACTTCCCACAGTGGCATTTGGGATCTAGAAAACCACAAGACAGAGAGAACTGAAAAACTTACTGAATTCTGAACCTCTCTCAGTCCCCCCAAAATGTCTGGAATGACTCTATTCATGTTTCTTTGGGAGAAGAGGAGGGAATTTAGGGAGACTTGGGGGAGTCATTTGTTACTTTTGGGGAGTTCATACTGTGCCTTTATGAACAACCCCAGGCCTGTGAGGAGCCTAGAGTCTAAGTTGTATTTTAATACAATAATAAACTAAGTTGTATTTTAATAAAGATTGAGGACAGCACTTTCTGCATTTACTTAAGTTGAAACTGAACACATCAGGTCCTTCCATCTCTCTGATGATGAAGGAAAATGAAATCTGGGCCTCCTGTCTGACTCCTCCTGTCTCTCCCCAGGGACCGGTTCAGAACCATGGTCAATGTCCTTGGTGATGCTTTCGGGACAGGCATCGTGGAAAAGCTCTCCAAGAAGGAGCTGGAGCAGATGGATGTTTCATCTGAAGTCAACATCGTGAACCCCTTTGCCTTGGAATCCACAATCCTTGATAATGATGACTCAAACACCAAGAAGTCCTATGTCAATGGAGGCTTTGCAGTAGACAAGTCTGATACCATCTCATTCACCCAGACCTCACAGTTCTAGGGCCCCTGGCTGCAGATGACTGGAAACAAGGAAGGACATCTCCATGAGAGTCATCTCAAACACTGGTTAAGGAAAAGAGAAACACTAATGGCTAAGTGTACATTTGATTTGATATACAGACCTCCAGATTATTTTCTATATTTGGATTCAGCCTTTGCTCTCCAAGTTTTGGGATTTGGGGGTGGGGTAAGATGAAGGAAAATTGATTAAAAGGAAAGTTCTATTATCTGGGTTTTAGAAATTCTATAAGAGACAAAGTTTGGGAGTATATAAAGTAGTAACTGTTAGACTTAGGTAATGGATATGAAAGAGAAAGTGCTTTCTCATGCACAGACAACTGTTTTGGGTTTTTAAAAAAAATTCTGTCATCGGTTACAAATTTTTACTCAGGCTTTCTATTGGCATGGATTTCCTTTGACCTCTCACTTTTTTATAAATTACAATGCATCTAAACCACTTCTCCCCAGTTAATGTGCCAAAATGTCCATTTTCAACTTATCTCCAGCCAATTTCAAAGAAAACAGACCAGCACAGTTCTGCAATAATAGTTTTAAGACAGGCATGGGGTTTGGAGGGAGAGGATTCTTTTCTCAATGTACTGTATTGGGATACTGGTAACTGTTAATCCAGTGTTCAGCATAGATATATATATATACACATATATATACACATATAATATCTGTATATATATGTGTTATATATATATACATATATGTGTATATATATGTGTATATATACATATGTGTATATATGTGTGTATATATGTGTGTATATATATATGGTGTGTGTGTGTGTATATATTTATTATTTTCATACAATTTGCCAGACGGAGATCAGAATTGAACCGTCAATGTGAAATAAAGAGTTCTCCTTGTACTTGAATAATAACTACAATTCCAACCCAGGTCTGCTTTGGGGCTTATCAGAACTCCTTTCTCAGGAGCACTAGAATGAGAAATCATGTTGTTCAATCATTTCACATCTGTATATCGGCCCTAAAGCAGAGATGTATTATTGTGATACTCTGAGGTAGCATAGCCATTCATATACAACTTCCAGATATGAGCTGCCTGGAGGAAATCCATATCAGCTCTGCATAATATTATATACAAAGGTGTCACTCACAAAAGGTTGGATGTGATTTTATCCAGCTGGAAGGCTTTATTCCAAGTTCATTCACACTCAAAGAGGTCAGTACTTTGCCATCCTTGCACTTCTGTTTTCAGGGCCCAAATAAGAGTGGCAAGGCTACCAAGTAAGTTGTATTTTAATAAAAATTCCATGGCTTGAACAAGCCACATTGCAGAAAAAGAGCTGCCCCTAACCTGGGTTCTTGCAGAGTAAATCCCACAACATAAACTGATATCACTGGTTCGGGGTAAATAGTTCCATTCTATGACACTTGTCTCCTCCTCCAGGGAGGACTGTTCTAACTAGTAATCTTGGCCCTATTCACTACACCCTCTGCTTATCATTCTGCTAATTCATGAAGATAGTTTATTAAAGTCTATGCTTCAGTTCTCATCTTGTAAATAATGCTTAACATAAACTTGTACTTACAGAGATCCAAAATAGTCATGTTTCTGCAGTATTGTGCAGCCAACTTAAACCTGTGCTTTCATGTTTAAGAAACGAGAAATTGTGCCAAAGATAGCAGAAGAGTAAATAAGTGCTTAGCACTGACCACCTACATCGGAAATCTACAACATAATGATACTGAATTGTTATGTAAACATCATAAATAGTAAATAATGATTCAATGTGAATTTTAAAATGCAAATATTGGTATTGTTTATAGGAAATAAATCTAAATATAAATAAAGTTGAATCAGTAATTTCTCTTGGACTGAATGGTTCTATCCCTTACCAGGTTGCCCCAACTAGTGGCACTAGAGTTAGCAGAGCTGTTCATGAGCTGTGAGTTATCCTTATTTTGGAGTCAGTCTGTAATCAGCCTCTTAACACACTGTGCTGTTAACTCATAAAAGAGAACAATGTTCCAATTGCAGTCTCAATAAACACTTCCCTCAATCTTTCTCCCCTGTCTTTTTCTTCCTGTTATCTGTCCTTTTATCTTACTTGCTTGGATGGGTGTGGAAAGGCAAAGATATGGTCAGTTGAATCAGATTTTACAGCTTTTTTTGTTTGTTTGTTTTGAGACATCATGTCGCTCTGTCACCCAGGTTGGAGTTGCAGTGGCACAATCTCAGGTCACTGCAGCTTCTTCCTCCTGGGCTCAAGCGATCCTCCCACCTCAGCCTCCTGAGTAGGTGGGACTACAGGCACACAGTACCATTCCCAGCTAATTTTTCTATTTTTTTGTAGAAATGGGGTCTCAATATGCTGCCCAAGCTTGTCTTGAACTCCTGGCCTCAAGTGATGCCCTGCTTCACCTCCACAAAGTGCTGAGATTACAGACGTGAGCCACTGTGCCTAGCTGGATTATTGTTTTCAAAACTTTAAATACCAAGAATGAAAAGTGAGGCTTGAGGAAAATAATCCGATCATTCATGTTAGCCAATGGGATTACAAGGTAGAAATACAGTGTCATTATGAATAGTTGCATGCATATTTTGTGACAGAGATGAAAGTAAAATTTTGTTAGTAAGAGATAGTTGGCCAGGTGCGATGGCTCACTCCTATAATCCCAGCATTTTGGAAGGCCGAGGCAGGCAGATTGCTTGAGGCCAAGAGTTTGAGACCAGCCTGGGCAACATAGCAAGACCCTGTCTCTACAAAAATATACAAAAATTAGCCGGAGATGGTGGTGTGTGCCTGTAGTCCCAGCTACTCGGGAGGACTAGGTGGGAGGATCACCTGAGCCTGGGGAAGCTAAAACTGCAGTGAGCTGTGATAGTGCCACTGCACTCCTGGCTGAGTGATAGAATCCTATATCAATTTTTTGAAAAAAAGAAAGTATTCTTTCTCAATATGGTGGTGGCTTGGTTTCACTAAAGGACCAATCCTACCCTCTGCAACACAATTACAAGCTACAAATGGTTGTGTTCAGGGTAATCTCTGATGGGATTGTGCAGTCCTGCCTGGAATACCCCAGTCATGAGGGGATTCTGCAGGGTAGGGGTTGGGGGGTGATCGACTCACTTGCTGTGATAGACAACAAAGGAAAGGCCAGCTCCCTGTTTCCCATTGAGAGGATCCTACCTCCTCATAAAAATGCTTATCACTACCTGGCCAAAGGAACACTGGGTAGTTTCCTTTGTGTACAACATGGGACAAAATACTCAACAACACAACTCCTTAGAAAAAGATACTTGTTAGGAAGAGCTGGTGCCCCTGGGCCTCCATGTGATTTTGATTTTGCCCAAAGTTTACTCATGAACAGAGAAATGGTGTTATCAGCTGGCAAATGACTTTATTCTTCCAGGAAATCTGTAAAAGAGTCCAGTGGGTACAAGGCCCTTTATTACAGCACACCCTGATTCTTAGAGAAGAACCATGGGAAGTGTGCTGGGCTTACTATCAGGCAGTAGGCTAGCTGCAGTGTTTGCTTTGCAGGGGTTCAAGAATCTTCCCTCCTGAAACAGGAGATAAGAAACGGTCCTTTGGAAAACTTGGAAGGCTGCTAGAAGCTTCTGTGCAACAGGATTGATATTCTGTATTTCCCAGCTGCCCAGCAAGGGACCATGGAACACAGTGAGTGGGCACACAGCTCTGATTCCTTGTCAGCTTTGCGTCCCTTGCCAACAACCTAAGCCTTGGTTTCCTCTTCCATGAAATAGGAATAACAATTCTTTCCTCATGGGACTGCTTTCAGTGGTCAATGAGAAAATGCATGTGATGCATATAGCAAAGATTCTGTTACACACTACGTCTAATAAATGCCAGTGCCTCTTCTCCCCAACTCCTGCATCTGGGAAAAAATGACACCCTTCTCCTTCCCCCATTTATTAACATGGGTAATCCACAGAGATGCAATTGCTGTTCCAGTGTTTTAGGACCCGTGTCCCTGACATGATGAAGGAATGAAGCTCCTACCACATGGTCCTGCTTGGCTTATCAGAGCAAATGGTATATTTAACCTAGTGGGAGTTCATAAAGAGCCCCCTTTCTATTAAGGGGAAATTCTTCCAGAAATGGGACATTTTATTTTTATTTTCATTTTGTCTTCTAAATGGGTTTATTTCATTTCTAGGGGACTTGTCTTGCTGTCTTTTAACTTTGTCATTACTTTTTTTTTATTATAAGTTCTGGGATACATGTGCAGAACATGCACGTTTGTTACATAGGTATACACGTGCCGTGGTGGTTTGCTGCACCCATCAACCCGTCATCTACATTAGTTATTTCTCCTAATGCTATCCCTTCCCTAGCCACCCAACTCCTGACAGGCTCCAGTGTGTTATGTCCCCCTCCCTGTGTCCATGTGGTCTCATTGTTCAACTCCCACTTATGAGTGAGAAAATGTGGTGTTTCATTTTCTGTTCCTGTGTTAGTTTGCTGAGAATGATAGTTTTCAGCTTCATCCAAGTCTTTGCAAAAAACATGAACTCATCCTTTTTTATGACTGCATAGTATTCCATGGTGTACATATGCCACATTTTCTTTATCTAGTCCATCATTGATGGGTGTTTGGGTTGGTTCCAAGACCTTGCTATTGTGAATAGTGCTGCAATAAACATACATGTGCATGTGTCTTCATGGCAGAATGATTTATAATCCTTTGAATATATATCCAGTAATGGGATTGCTGAGTCAAATGGTATTACTATTTCTAGACACTTGAGGAGTTGCCACACTGTCTTCCACAAGGGTTGAACTAATTTGTACAACCACCAACAGTGTAAAAGCATTCCTAATTCTCCACATCCTCTCCAGCATCTGCTGTTGCCTGACTTTTTAATGATCGCCATTCTAACTGGTGTGAGATGGTATCTTGTGGTTTTGATTTGCATTTCTCAAATGGCCAGTGATGGTAAGTTTCTTTTTTATATGTTTGTTGGCTGCATAAATGTATTCGTTTGAGAAGTATCTGTTCATATCCTTTGCCCACTTTTTGATGGGATTGTTTTTTTCTTGTAAATGTGTTTAAGTTCCTTTTAGATTCTTGATATTAGCCCTTTGTCAGATGGAGGGATTGTAAAAATTTCCCATTCTGTTGGTTGCCTGTTTACTCTAATGATAGTTTATTTTCCTGTGCATAGCTCTTTAGGTGAATTACATCCTAAAATGGGACATTTTAATCTAAAGAGTATTAAACTGAATTTTTCCTACAAAGTGTCATATAAAGTAGGAAGTAAACATATAAAGTAGGAAGTAAACAAAAAAATAAGTGTTTGCATTCCTTTTCCTATGCCCTGAGACACAGAGAGGGGTTTGAGATGCTTGGGCTGCGTCAAGCTGAGATGTACCTTCGCATAACACATCTTCATATATCCTGAAAATGAGAGTACACCATGAAGTTCACTTTTGCAGTCAGCCTATAAATCTCATGTGACTCTTCAAAAATTCTCTCCCCACCTGATGGAAGCAGGGCCCCACCTGGGGCTTTTTAATACACCCTGTGGGAAGAAATGTACCTCTCTGTAATCCTAGACTTTTAAAGTGAAAGCCAGATAATATAAATTAGCAGACTTTGTTAAATTAGCTTTGGGAACAATATATATACTTTTTTTTTTTTTTTTTTTTTTTTTTTGGAGATGGAGTCTCACTCTGTCACCAAGGC